GTCGGTTCTTAGAGAGACAGCCTCTTAAGTCGTCGTAGCACTTTCAGTATCCCATAGCAACTGGACAACAAGTTATTAACTTGATCACCCCACGCGAGATGTTGGTCAATATACACACCAAGCAACTCGGTACAAGAGATTCTCTCTAGTGGGGTGTCATCACACATAATGGCCAGTAATCGTTCATCCAGTTTATGTATACGTGACATCTGAAGGGTGGAAATAAGCATCCATTTTGTCTTTGATAAATTTAGTGCAAGATTGCATCCCTCAGAGTATTCACGTAGTCTGGAAATGGCACCATTGACCTCATTTGCGCACAAATGTAGATCTGATGGTTTACTGTCGATGAGAAAAGTTGTGTCATCAGCGTATTGAAAACGGAGACATTGGAGTTTATCCTGCAGATCAGCCACGTAGAGATTGAAGATTACTGGTCCTAGAATGGACCCCTGTGGAACACCGAACTGAACTGTGGCTAGACTAGACTGTTTGTCATCAATTTGGACAAATTGTTTCCTGTTAGATAGATAGTTTATCATCCAGAGAAGAAAGTCCTTCGAAAAACCCAAGTTGTGCATCTTCATTAAAACAGTTTTAAACTCAACAGTATCAAAGGCCTTGGCATAGTCTGCGCACACCATCAAGGTCACTTCGCCCTTCTTTGATGCTTGAATTAGGGCATCGCGGATGCCAAGCAAGACAGTTATCGTTGAATTCGAATGTCCCTTTCGAAATCTTGATATAGTCGAACATAAAAGAGCCTGATCATCGATGTACTTAACAAGCTGATTTAGGACCAGGCGTTCAAATACTGTAGACATTGCAGGTAGAATTGAGATCGGTCGAAAGTCCGAGTCACAAGATGATTGGTTTACTTTTGGGATTGGAGACACGCGAGGAGTCTCCCAGGTCTCAGGAAAGAAAGAGTTTCTGATACAAGTGTTAATTATATGCGTTAGAGGTCCTGCTATGTCTTGTTTCTCTAACTTCAGAAACTTTGCTGGAATCCGGTCTACACCAGTTGAAGTGTCATTACGGAGCCGATCTACTTCTCGCTCAACTTCCCTTACCGTGACTTGTTGTAAATTGAAAGTATGCCCTTGAGTTGTGTGTTCCTGGAGTGACTGAACATGTCTAGTAAAATTACCTACAGCATCAGCATCTGATTTACTGCCCAATGTTCTATGACTGGTTGTTATGAAGAATTGATTGAGTTTACCAGGGTCTGCCTGAATCGTTTTGTGACTGGGGTTGAGTATGCGATGAATTACCCTCCACACCTCCTTGGGACGTTTAGACAAGAGGGACTTTGTGACAAAACGCCGCTTTGCCTTGCCAATATCTGATTTGATACGATTACGCACTTGCCTGAATGCATTCCAGGATTTAGCAGTGTTAGTGGCGTGTGCCTCAGCTCTCAACGTATCCCGCTTAATCTTTAGCTCTTGTATCACACATGATTGCATCCATGGTGCGGGTGGGCGTGTCATTTTCACTCTCCGTAGGGGGGCATGTCTTTCAATACATTCAACAAGAAGAGTGTTCAGCGTCTCCACCATATACTCTAGCGACTCCAGGCCATACACCACACTCATCGGGAGTTCAGAGCAGTCCTTCTTAATTCTTCCTCATTAAAATTCTTCCCATTTCTTATCAATTTGTGGCGTGGTTGGTAACGAGGTACACGTACATTTATACATGCAAAAACGCCGTCATAGTCACTCACAGTGCAGCTGGGTATAATATCGGTTACTGCGACAGATTGCGGGTCGTTTGTGATGATGTGGTCAATCAGTGTTCTTGATGTGGGCGTGACACGGGTGGGCTTAGTGACGTGTTGATGCATACCAAGGACGTCTAGTACTGATTTATATTGCTTTGTCATGCTATGAGATGAATTTAGCATATCGATGTTTACATCGCCAGTAACATACAATAAACATCCCAGTCAAGAGACACTTGACTCAATAAACTCTCGAAGCGGTCGAGCCAATCATTACAACTCCGCATACGTTCAGATCTATAAATCATCCCAATTAGGGCCTTACTATGTTTGTTCCGCCAAGGGATTTCGAACCACAAATTTTCAAAGTCAGTTTGTAGATTTTCAATATCTTTCCTGCGCTTGAAATTGATAGAATTACTAATACATGCACCCACTCCGCCGCCGCGAATCGCGTGTCACGACTGTTGAAAATAGCGGTATATCCAGAAAGCGCGACATAATCTAATAGCGCGGGATTTTCTTTAATCCAGGTTTCGCTCATAGTGATAATATCCATAGGACAATCACTAACAAGAGTTTGAAATTCATTGAATGAAGAAACCATACTTTGCGTGTTTAGGTGCATAATACTGAGATGTTTGGGGTGGTTCCGCAAAGCTTCAGCAATAAAATCTAACGTTTCTAATTCGGAATCTAGAGTTGAGTTTATCTGTTCGTTCCCTTTTCTTTCTAGTATTTCCAAGTCCTTAACATTGAAGAAAGGTAACTCAGATAATGTGCACTCTGGACATGTCCAACTACGCGGGTCATGAGCTCCGGCGTTTTTGATAAACCATGAGTTACTACGTTTGTGATTGCGTTTAACGATTTTCTCACATTGTGGACACTTGACGGTTGTTTTTTTTACCCTTGTTTTCTCGGCTGCGGAGGGACCAGGCTGAGGATGGACATCACCGGCAATCAAAAGCAATCGATAGCTGGCAACGCTGTTAGAATAATATGTCACCCTCGATTTCGCATATTTCGACTTAGAGACTTTAAACTTAATTGAGGGCAATTTGCACCACTGTCTTCCCGTTAAAAGGCTTGACGCAGAACAAACACTGTTATTGTTGTTATTAAAATAGGGCACAATGGAGACTTCCTTAGAGGCTTGAAGCACTTCAGATATGCAAATTCGGTCATGATTCTCGAAGCGTCTTGATTCTAAAATGGTGTTAGTCAAGAACAAAAACTGTTCTTTTTGTATCAACGATTCATTTCCGACCTTGCAAAAAATATCACTAAATTCCTTGCAACATGTTTGCATCAACAGATGCAGGTTTGATTGTATGATACCAAAAGTTTGACTTCGGCGAGAATAATTAATGATTCACTCCGTTAAGCACGGTATAACTACAGAAATCTTTTCTTTCTCGATGAAACACTGCTGCTGTCAAACCCATGAAACAATCATCAATATGCTTCATACTTGATTCATTAGATAACCGTTCGAAATTTAGAATAGCCCGACATATCGTGGTGATTTGCCTTTGAATAGATATTTGTCTTCGCCGAGAATAATTCGCTTCATTGAATACAATACAGTTATCAAAAACCTTTCCTTGTGCACGTAGTAAGGCTTCTATCAAACGCGTAAAACTGTCAAAGACAGGTTTCGTACATATTTGTTGAAGTGATCGTTCAGTATTGAGAAATCCACACTTAAAAAATAGACTCACAGCAACCAAAGCTGCTGAGAGCCACAAGACACAACTTACTCTCAAGGTGGCCATGCAGAGTTTCAGACAGGAAAGCGATGTTAACTAGAGACCTGATTCCTAACATTTATACGTGTCCTTTGTCATTCAAGGCTGATTACATGGAGAGTTTTTACCCCGGGGTGAGTTTCATCCCGGTTTCTCGAGCTGAAATTTCAGTCCGGGTTGAATATTCACCATGGAATCAGCCCCTTTAAGGTTCGTCACACTATTTTGTAATGCGATATTGTTTGTGTTTGTGTTTGTATGTTTATATACTACAATGTGAGCTTCTTTTGAGTGTCAATGCTGTTTTTGAATAGCTGGAGGGTGAGTAGTCACATAGTAAGGTACGACACTAGCCTTCCATCTATTCAAAAACAGGAATGACACTCGAGAGAAGCTCAGATTGAACTTCCACTCATTGAGTGTGAGTGTGAGTGAGCTTTTAGAATACAGGCGTAAGTCTAGTGTATGTTTTAAGCTTAGACAGCCTGTTTTATCAAAGAGGAATCATATTTTAAATTAAGGCAAAAACTAGACCATCTGCTCCCTCCACATGCATGATATCGAACAGCCAGACATATTCCTATAGATATAACTTGTAATAAATATGTTAGTAGTTGGTGTGTGTCGTACCTCTTTATTAATCTTTCGTTGTATTTTTCAAGTTTATGTTGCTAATCCCCTTGTCTCCAGGCGACTTTCAATTCTGGTCAAAGTTCTGATTTTTCTTTTCAACTTCCGAGTTCCAACTGACTCAAAACAACACCTGTCGTTAATGCTCTCACCAGGAATTTATTTTAGTATACACCCTTTTCATAAATGGCTGCCGATTAAAAATTCTTTTATGTGCATATAAATTGGCCCAACTTAAATTATAGCCAATATAAATTGGCCCAACTTATATGCACATAAAAGAATTTTTAATCGGCAGCCATTTATGAAAAGGGTGCATGCATTGCGTGACCAGTCAGATATCATATACGTCAACTCGTTACCAGGCTGCTGAAATTTTCAACATTTATTCTGCCAAATATTAAGTAGATTCAAACGTGAAATGAACGTGAATGATCTAGGCTATTATTAATTTTCGGTTAACAGTACTACTAAATCGGACATCTTCTAGACGAAAGCTCTAACTTTGATTATTAGAGAAGAAACTGTGCAAGCTCAAACAATATTTCAGTAGTAGAGAAATGTGTGTTTAAAATTTGGTTTCTTGCCCAATTGTTAACACAACAACTTAGGTAAGGTGCCTACATGCAAATATCTATGCTGCTATAAAGTACAAATATTTTGACAGCTATTTCCACAATATTTGCATCACACACGTAGCAACAACTTATCTGGGATATATACTCTTTGTAGTTGGCTAAAAATAGTTGAGAACAACAAGCGACTGAAGAGGATGGACAGCTGTGGGATTTGTAGACAAAAGAATTAGACAAAGCATTTTTCTTGCCCTCCAGATATTGTTGTGCAAAGTGTTTTTAGGCCAGCTACAAAGGAACTATTTATGACCAAGTTTTTAATAAAGAATACTTAATATATGTTATATCTATCGTCATGCATGCACGACTCACTACATCTCGAAATTTTACCAATAAATTAAAAACTTTGCCGACTATATCTTAAAATATTTTAAGATATTTTAACATTCAGTACACGTCAACAAGTAGTTCTATACCCACTGTTCAGTTCAGATGAGCTACAATCTAACACTTTGTGGACAAATCCACAATATTGCAGGTCTCGAATGGCGTTTTTCCAAATAATATTTCCCGCTCCCACAAGTCCATGGTGAAACAAATTTTCCATCAAAAATATGAAATGTATATAATGCGAATGTGCAACATTGAAGAGGGGAAGGGGGGAATGCGTGTAAAGCCATGCAATCTTAGCTGTTTAATAAAACATTTTTTGCAAAAGTGGATTACATGTCCACATTAATTCAAGGCATATTTTAATACCATGGACTGGTGGGGCATTTGCCCCATTGGGCCCGTTCCTCTGCCCCACCACTGAAGAAAAAAAATGGCCTATTTCCCCAAAGCCAGGGCCCTGGGACCTGTATTGAGTAAATGATTGAGTTTAACATTGAAAATAAATTTTAAAAACAAAATTTGTTGGTGAGCATACTTAAACTTATGTTATGTTTGAATGTTTAGCATGCAATTTATTACAAATTTCACCATTAAAACTTTGTTTTGGGAAGCTGAGATTTTTTAAATGTGTTCTCAGAATGAATGCAGGAAATACTATTTCTGAGTCCCAAATTTTAAAAATTTCCTGTGGGGGGGGGGACATGTTTGCCCCCAGCTTCAACCCCCTAGCTAACTCGTGCCTGCGGTACTCTGCTCACACCTTCGGCGATCACATACTATGCTGGGGGAGGGCAAGGAAAGTGGGCCCTTTTGCCCCACCACTAAAGAATCCTTAAAAAATGCACTGCATTAATTTTGGCCTGGATTGTAGCTCAACATAGTGGCCGCAACGTTTGTATGAACATTGAATTATTAACGAACACGTGATCGCAAGGCAGTAATTTACAACTGTTAGTAGATCGGAGCACTAGAATAGGATCCGGCGACGAAACGGAGGGATTTAGGGTGTATATAGGCCCTCCCAAAAATATAAAAGTGAATTAAATTCACAATTTTGAGTTTCATATTTAAATAGGAAATATGTTGGATTATATCTTTGTCAGTTTATGTAAATGAGTTCACCCGCCCTTGTAGAATCAAACACTATTTAATTGCTATTTATTTCCTATTTTATTGGGCTATTTAATTCCTATTTGTCAAAGTATTTATTTCCTATTTTTACTATTATTTTTTCTCGAGGTTTTTCCCATTTAAATTAGGGTAGAAAGGCTATTTTTTTCCTATCCAAGTGGAACCATTTATGATATATTTCTAAACAAATACTTAATTGATGTACTCCAATAGAAATTAAATAGGTTTCAAATATAATAAAAATAGGGCTATTTAGGGAAATTATTATAAATAAATAGTTTCGACTTAGTTAATACATATATATGAAATAGTTAAAACATAGTGACAATATAGGTAAAAAATATGTAATAAATAGCTGAAATGAGTTTCAAGAAAGTTTAAAATAGTCAATAAATAGTTCAAAAATAGTGATAATATAGTTTAAAAATAGATAATAAATAGTTAAAAAACGTCCCAGCTTGTTAAAAATAGGTAATAAATAGTGGATATAATATTGCCCAAATAGGCTAAATATAGTTAAAAAATAGTAATAACATATCAAATAAATAGTTAAAATATGTTCCATTAATACAGTTAAAATAGTTATTAAATAGTGTATTCAAAATACATATAGCCTTTAATTATTTTTTAAATATATTATAAATAGTTAAAACATATAGATAATAAAAAGTTAAAACATATAGTATAAATAGTCTTTAAATAAAATATATTTAGTAAAGAAATTGAGAACAAGTGTAGAAGTGCTAAAACATCAGAGGCTATTATATATTTTATAGACCTACTTTAGTACTTACTGTAATGCCAGATAATTTTACTTGTCAGTGGGTAGATGTCTGCCAATAAATGAGTTAAATATCTGTATTCTTTTAGCCAGATATACACAGGGCCGTCGCGAGCGGGGGTGTGTGGGGGGGGGAGGGTGCTCCACCCCCCCAATAATTTTCACAAGTCGGCCCCAGTCGGCAAATTTCTTCGTTACTGTTCGGCAAATTGCGAAATCGGCATTCAGCAAATTGTAAAAGTTAAGAACGAAGGCGATAAATAAAGCGATAAATTTTGGATTTAAAATAATGGTTTGTTTGGTCTTATGTCAAAACCATTTAAATGTATTTCTAGTAAAACTATTAGTCTTTTATTTGTCGAAAATCGACGGGAGGCTGAAATATGAAACCCACGTTTCCGGGCATGTTCTTCGCTCGACTGCTCTTATAGCGAAGGTTTTTTATCAATGGACCTTTCCCCTTATAACTAAAATTTCGATCTAGACAAAAATTTCATCACAGCTTGAAAGAGCATCACAAAATTAGTAATATTCCAAAGTTTTGTTGCAAAATCGTGTAAAATGCGGATAATATAGCCTTGCGAA